GAGATGGGAAAAGGTGAGAGAAAGTTAAGGTTCTTTTTGTGTATACTTATGGCAGAAATTTAGCATCTATTGTCTTGAGAAAGTCAACAAGCAAAATGAAAATAAATGCTCAGGATTAGAGTTGATTTTCCCAGTGAAAATGACCACTTCCCCAGGCAGCTGATTTTTCAGAATTTCTACTGATCACCCACACCAGCTTGAGATGTGAACAGTGTTTCTGTTTGAAATGTGGACAATAGTGAGTTCCAAACACTGCCTCCAAACAGAAGCGACTCAATTCAGTTCTAGAGAAAAAAATAATAAATGAGCTACACACATGACAATTCAAATGTAGAAGATGATAAACATCAAAGTCTAGGTTGCTTTTGAAAACAGATTGGGGCATTACTTGCACATTTCCATTAGTTTGTAGTTCTTCTGATTGGAGAACTTTTAAGTTGTTTGAAAAGAAGAAAGTAAAAATTTACACCATAAATTTGCCCTCTAGACCAAAAAAGAATAAAAAACTGCAAAAAAAAAAAGGTTAAAAAATGCCTCTAAGTAAACTCTAGGATACCATCAATTGTAGGATGAGTCCTGATAAAAGGTGAAAAATACGCATTTTAGAATCAGTGAAATAGTGTATATATTTTGCGACCACTTGATGAATGTCTGCTGCCCCCACAGATAAGAAACCAGTGTCTATGCTGATTTTGTTCATCATTATACCATAGCCGGCACTAATCAATTCTTAATAAATCCTTGAATGAATGAATGAATGAATGAACGAACGAGTGTGTAGATCGAATAGTGGAGTTTGTCTTACACTCCAAATACGTAAATGATAAATACAAAATGCATTTTAAATCAGCATTAATGGCTAAAGCAGTGCTGGAAAGTAACAACAACATTGTCTGACATTTATTTTGAAGTGACACATTATCTCTTTGGAAAGAAGTCCTTTTAGAAAGGATTAAATTCTGATAAATAAGAACCTCCCATCTCTACGTGAACCAGGTGAAGCTTGATTTGTAAAGCCTAAGTGAGTAGTTTGAGGTGTTTAATATAATAAGTAAATTGGACAGGGAGAGCAACCTGTTATCACATCCTACTCTTCTCTGTTTTTAAAAGACAGCCAGATTCAGACCTATGAGAAAAGCAAGTCTCTACTTTTATAGAAACTTGTAAGGGAGATGTCATTCTGTCCGTGCAACATTTCTTTCTTTCTTAGAAAAGGCTTTTAAAGGGTGCCTGGGTGGCTCAGTTGGTTGGGCCGCAGGCTCTTGATTTCGGCTCAGGTCAAGATCTTGAGGTCCTGGGATCAAGCCTCCCCTCCCCCTACCTCCACACTCAGCGGGGAGTCTCCTTGAGAATTCTCCCTCTGCCTCTTCCCTCCCCCCTCAAATAAATAAATACATCCCTTTGTAGACAACCTCTTCTGTTTCAGGGTCAAAAGCCCTCAACACAAGGGTTTGTTAAAAAAAAAAAGGAAAAGAGAAGGAAAGAAAGAAAAGAAAAAGGTAAGAAAGAAAACGAAAAAAAAATCGTAAAGAAAGAAAAGGCATTTAACAGAAGAAAACAATATCTTTAACCGGGTACATACAGCACTGTAATATTACAGTGTGATAATTATTAAACCAAATTCTTCTATAGACATATGCAGTTCAAAGAAAAATTCTATTCTCCAAAGGAAGTTACCCTCTTGCCTTCTAGTGTAAGTTGATAGTCTATTTTCTCCTCTGTCCTTCTGACACCTCTAACCCACTCCTTATTCTGTTGATCTCTACCACCACCACCAAACACCATTAAGTTCTGACACAAGTGGTCCACAGAGCTGACTGGCCCAGGTTACAAGTGTTCAAAATCGCAAGTAACAGGGAGCAGAAGTTCTAGAATGGGATGTGGGTTATATATGTATTTGCATAGAGCCTCCACATTAACTCAGCTAAGAATTGTGAATCATCTAGGTGAATGACTATGGAACCAATTAAATGAATTGACATGAAATCTTAGGCAGCCATTGGCAAAAGTTAGGAAAAATCCATATGTACTCACCTGGAAGATATCAGTGACATAGACTTAATTAAAAAAAAAAAGTTGTAGACCAATATGTAATTTAAGTTTTAGTTTTTAAAAGAAATATGTTGGGCTCTAAGTATATCTGTTTAGAAAACATTATAGAGGGCGCCTGGGTGGCTCAGTTGGTTAAGCG